AGTATTAACTCATAACCATGTTACTGACTCTTTTTAGCATTAAGTGATTCTACTGTTACTAAGTTGTTTCCTGTAATTTTATTTGCAATTGGTATGCATTGTAGCTCACAGTATCTGCCGTGGAGTTTCCTATTCAGATGTTTCAGGATACTTGTTCAGAGAAAGAGTTTAAGAGTACCTGAGAGAATGTGACCGTGAATACCAGAAAACGGAAGACTTAAGAGGACAAAATCAGGGCATATTTGTGGCTTTTAAATATAAGAATTTTATCTTTGTCTCCTATAGTTCTTTAAAAATTCTGTGGTTTCATGAGCACCTTCAGATAGAAAAGGTTAGAGCAATAAATCTTGGGTTGAGGGATTTGCTATAATCTTTTTCTCTCTTAATATTTACATTATTGCTCAGTAGGAGGAAGGGATGTTTGGGATAAGGTAAATAGGATCTTAACCATCATTATTACCAAATAATTCATTATGAATATATTATATATCACCTTCTTACGAGTGGCTTTGTTTAAAATGAGTTGAGCATATGCTTTCTCAGCACTGGCATGTAATGATGCCCAGAGTTCCCACAGGAAAAGGATTGGTAAGCTAATGTTTAAGTTACATTTATTATTTTTGCAAGACCAGAGAGTAATAAATAAGCAGAAGAGATAATGAAAGAGACTCATTTTAGACACTAGAATCTCAATTAAAACAGTATATCCCTTCAATTCCAGAATCCGAATAAGTGAGTAGCTATTAATTTTAACTGGAACTTTTATGAAGATAACAAAAATGTTTCTAAGAATAATTTAATTCATACTCTGGATTTAGAAGTACGTATATTTTACAATGTAATTAATTCAAATATATATGTATATATATATATATATGTTAAATAATATGTGAATACAAAGATTTTCTTAGTTATATTTCACTTTTCTCGTGTATCTAAGGGCACTTGGAGCATCCTCTTCTATGTTTAGTTGATCTTTCTATATGTGTTCATCATTGTTCTTGGCTCCTGTCTATAATGCTTCTTACACTAGGGCCTCCATTATTTGCAGCCTCTGCTAATGTGTGGTCCAAAAGCTATACCAGGTGGCACAGCTTTATTAAGTAATAGCCAGAAAGAGTTTATCCCTCCAATAAACACAGCAATATTGCTACTGATATTGCTCCTTTACTCATAAACCTCTTCTTTTTTCCTGAGTGTGAAGACAAAGTCTGCAAATACTAAATGCAGTAAATATATAAACAATATAGCATTTTAGAGGGTGAGAGGTACTGTAGAAATGATAAAAATTAGAGCAAAGAAAGGTGGGAGGATTGCCATGGTAAATAGGTCAATCAGGATTGGCCTCAACTGAGAAGGTGAGATTTGAGCAAAAACTTAAAGGCAGTGAGGATATCAGCCAAGAAGATAACAAAAGGAGAGAAGCTCAGGCCCTTGATAGTGCAGTGAGCACCTTGAGGAAGCGCCATGCTCAGTGTGTTGAAAGAACAGTAAAGAAACCAGCGAAACTGGAATAGAGTGAGCAAGGTGGAGAGTTAAAAGGAGAAAAGTCAGAAAATGAATGATGACCGGATCATG